TTCCCTTGTGGCAGGATATACAGCCACTGTTATCTAGGTGTTTCATAAGGACCTTACCAGAGAGAACAAAACACACAGCCCTCACCCACCTCTGCTAAACCTTCCCTCATACACTCAGGTCAAGAAGAAAGTCTTGCAGTCCACCTGAAGGCGAGCTCCTCCTGGGTCTGTGGTATGAGAGGTCTCCTTCCCACCACGATTACTCTGTTTCAACCATCAGCAACCAGCCCCCCGTACCTGCTCTGCAACAACCCTTCCGGCAGCTGATGAAGCCACCAGTGCAATCTGCAGTTTGGTAATCAGTGGCACAAATGCAATTAACCTACTAACCCCAGGCTGGCAGTCTTAATCCTGGAATGATGTTTTCACTAGCAACGTCATCAGAGAGACCAAATCAAACAGGGCATGATAAGTGTTGGCTTCAAGCTAGGACCAGAGATAAAGGGGGAGCACACCTTGCTTTGGGGTGCATCATGTGTTGCTCCTCAGGCAAGGGGAAAAATCCTTCCTGGGAAGCTATCGCTCTGACGCCTTGAGCGAGTGCTCAAATTAACCATTAAATGCAGTCTTAAAAAATACAGATTAAAGGAAAGGGCTTTAACAGTAGATCCATTTGGTCTCTCCTCTTGAAGGAGGGATGCTATGCAAACAGGTTTACCTCTGAATATCTGCTACACAGTGTTTCCCTTCAAAAGTCAGTCCAAACTCAGTGTTACATTAGACCATTTGGAAGTCTGAAGACTTCTCAGGAATTGTGGTTTATGATTAATCTATATATAACTTGTATATTATAAATACTGTTCTCCAAGACATCACATTTCACATATTGCCCATCCACATCCTCAGGCCTGCAACCGAGGAAACATACAGCTGATGGTACCTTAACATATATTTCGTTTACACCCCATGGTTGCCCAGCTCTAAGGAGCAGAGCTCTGCTCCTCCACAATGCCAGGCTCTCAGAAAACATTTCCCTCAGCCCTAAAGCGTGCAAGGGGCCTCGACAGGAATGGGTGGCTGAGCTGCAGAGGATGAATGCCATTTCTGCACTGGAGAAACACAGTAAAACACTGACTATAATAAAGACCTTGAGTGGATAAGTGGCTCCTATTTAAATTGGTGTGAAATACAGGAACCTGTCTCCCAAGCTTAAATTGTCATCTGGCAATAGGCACAGAACCTGGCTAAGTAGTTATTTTTCTTGATAAACCCAGTGATTTGTAGCAGGGTGCTGTCTTCGTAAATGTACTTGTATTATTGTGGGGTTTTTTTTCCAAACATGCAATAGAAGAGTGAACGGTAAACATGTATGAATACTGCTCCTCATTTCCTTTTGGGCCCCTAATCAGGAAATGTTGAAAATCAGTGTTGGTGTTGCTGGAGATTAATGGCTGCTGCTCAGACAGTGTACAGGGAATATATTCCTGCCAGGACAAATGCATAGGCCATTGGACAAAAATCTGTGAACCACAGATAGGATTATATCATCATAGTAAAGATGTTACTATATCATCATTGTAAAGATGCCTGTGTTGCTCTGTAATTAATAATATTCACATGCTGGTTTGACTGAAATCACTGTAACAACCAGGCAAATTAATGCCATGCCTTCATGGTCCAATTTATTCTACTGGTGTTTGAAGTTTTCTTTTCAAATCAGTTTTGCAGTATTTAAAAATCAGAATTTTTCCCCAGGTATAAGAAAAAATAATTTATGGATTTTTTGCCCACTTTACATTCAATATATGTTTAAAGACGATGTAATCACTGGTTTTTTATATGAGCAGTGAGATCTCATAGAGAAAAGACACTCCACTGAGCTATAAAGCCTTTAAAATCAATCCCTGTCATCAGTTCATTCGTTTCCCACTCTCCTTCAGAGAGGTTGTACTTAAGAGCTCTCCTGCCATGTATATTGGGATACATTTTCATCGCCGCAGCTTCTGTATGCTTTTTCTCCCCTTTTGTTTTCTTACAAAATAAGGCCTAGGCTATGGTGACCTCAGCCGTTTATGAAAACCTTTCCTTCTCTATATTCAGTAAGTGCACAGTGCCCAGCCAGGAAATCTGACGACAGGCAGAGCTGAGTCCAACTCGGCCCTGGAAGCTAAGGCACATGCAAGCTACCTGAGGTCATTATAATAAAAAAAACCCCAAAACCCCAAACAAAAAAAACCCCAAAACAAAAAACAAAACCCAAAAAACCCAAACCAATGACAAAAAAAATGAAGACATAAACATCACTGCTAGGGCATGTCTCCATTGTTTACTGGCATGTTCATCTTCAAAATGAAGAGCTGGGAGGTCGAGTCCCAAAGTAAGGACTCAAAACAGATACCAACAGCAACGTGGCATGTGTCTACGTTTGCTATGCTGTTAGATTACGTGAACAGGGAACTAAGCACAGGAAGCATATATATACATTACCAGTTTACCCTGCTAACCCCGTGGTTGTCATGACCAGATTACTTCCCGTGGCTGAGCTCGCTGTTTGGGGTTTACAAGGTAGCGACACCCTGCTCTGCATTTGGCAGTGCAGGCATAAGATCCCCCTTGCTCATGGCTGCTGAGTAAACAGTCATGGTATTTTATCCCATTTTGTTCTTCAAAAAATATCAGATCTTCCTACAGGTACAGCCAGCTGTTATTCTCAAAACAAAATTTTCTTACATATGCCTATATAATGTTTGCTTTGCCAGCATTGAAATGGCTTCAAAATAAACCCACAGTCTGATTTGTCAGTCCAACAAAACGCCAGCCAGCCACCAGAGATGTCCGAACAGATCTGAAACTGAAAAGCCACGAAATGACTCAGTGCATTAGGTCACTGTGACAGCCAGGAGGTAATACAAGAGTATTTACTTTGGCTGGAGTCTTCCTTGGCTCATCTTCGTTTGTAGTGTCAAAGCCAGGCTCTCATCTCAAGCCAAAGTGCTGTAGCTTGCCCACTTCAGTAACGGTTCAACACAGGTACCAGGTAAATAAACCAAAACGGGGGGGTGTGTTTAAATGAAATTAAAAACTCCTATAGATTTAAAAGAATAATGATTCTCTTCCCTGCCTGGCAGTAAAGAGCAGAAGGAAAGATTCACTCTATGGCTACGAGCATGGTTGCCCTCGCAATCTTCTCATGATGCTGGGAAGCTTTAGCAGAGCCTAACATCTCGGGGGGGGGTGTCTGTATGTAGAACTAACCCTAAAAATATTGTTCAGGACAATGGGAATATCATCTTGGTGAGGATTTTTAGCCCACATTACAGCGCAGGTGGCAGCTATCCCCACTGTTCCTATAGGGACAATGAGAACATGGGCAGTCCTTTAAAGGTTGTGTAACTCCCCCACAAAGTAAAAGACTACGGTGAAGAGCCACATTTCCATGTATTGAACAGGAGAATTACTCAGAGGTAAAAGTAAAGGCCACATTTATTGCCACCCAGGAAACGTCAGTGACTTTCTTTGCCTCCCCTTTCCAGACCGCAAAGGTGACTTTAGGGTAAATCTTTCTGCACAACATGAGCATGATACATTTCTAGTGAGGTTTGGCTCTATTCAGCACTGAAGCTGCATGCTGGCTCCGTCTTTTAGGAAATGACATATACAAGCTTTTGTACAAGGTAAAACGAAGCACTATAAAAATGGATACTGTTCTGTAATGATTTTTTTTTTCCTTTGCAAAATTGCATTCAACAGATTTTCTTGCTTTTTTCCAGTTTTTCACTGCAAAATGACCATTCTCTGTCTTTATGACAAAATGATCTAGTTTGAAAGCATATTGCCTGCAACTCAAAAGTACTTTCTGACAAACTGAAGGTGAATTAGGTACAGGAAGAGTGATACTTAGTGATAATTAATGAGATGAAATCTCAGAGTTGTGGTAATGGTGCAACTCAAGTGACTCCTATACCAAAGAAATTAACAAAACAATTGCTTCTTGTAATCAGATAAGATGGTGACGAGTCCAAAATGAAAGTAAAAATGTTATGGACATGGGTTTCAGGGAGAAAGAAAAGCCTTATATGAAATGCTAAATAATGATGGTTAATTGGAACAAAGGAATTGAGACAAAATGTTTTCACACAGGTTGGGCAGGTGTCCATAGGTTCAGTGAAAAATATCACTAAAATGCAAACAAAAGAACGTATAAATTTGTCAGGCAGCCTTACCGCAAAAGGAGATAAGTTTTGAGAAGTCAGAAGTCTTCATAGTGACTTTTTGACATACCACGTTTCAGCTCTTTATTTTGAAATTCCCTGAATGCTGACACTCCTGAGAGCCCAATGATTTATTAGCATTACAGAGAATCCTCAAAACTGGATGGACGTTTCGGGGGATGAGTTAAGCACAAAATCAGGCTGTCTGCCATCAAGGACTTACTACTGGGCTGAATAAACATGCAAACCAGGACAACTGAGAAAACTTTCAAGCGAGCGCTGCCCCAAGAAATAAAGCTCACGGGTCTTTGCCAGGCGGGGAACGTGCAGAGCACTGGAGGCCAGGCAGGCCAGGCAGAGCCTTGGCTGAGCCCTGAGCAATATCTGAATATGCAGAAGGTCCAGGGGCCATCTTAATACTTTTTCAGTATTGCTGGCTTGCAGATATGTCTCTTGAATATTTGCATTAACAATTGTAATTACACTCACTATATTTGCTTGTCTTTCCCCTCCTCCTAGCCTGCCCACCCCTCCCCCCCGCCCCAAACTGATTCCCCTGTGGTTGTTTTCTGCCTCTTTTTAAGTGTTCAAGACCTGGAGATCTCCCTTTCTTCGTCAGTTCTGACCAGTGTTTATAATTTCTTTTGCTTTGGTAGCTGCAGATAGAGATGGTAAATAAAGTAGTACTTAAAACTATGACTATCCTGTTAAATACCAACTACCACTGCTCTCTCCTTATGGTCCTTTGCCTTAAATTTGCATGTCCCTGTCAGCTGAGCCCTATGCTTTTTGGACAGCATAAAATATATAGGTAGCTAGAAAATATAGTTTAAAAGATGTTTAATTTACCTGTAGTTCTCCTTCCATTATGCTGAGGAGTTTTATCAAGTCCTCTTTAGAAAGCTCTATGGACTTCTTGTTCTTTCGTTCAGTAGGTCCAGGTGATTTTGAGTGCCGTTTGACAGTTGCTGAAACCATGACCTCATCTTCCTTCCGATGAGGTTTGTTCTTTTTCTTGGCATCCTCCTGAAGTTTTTCATTCTCTGCATGGCTGATGACAGGCTTGGAACTGGAGAAATGCCCGTTAGACGAGCTTTCTCCGCCTTGGTTTCGGGATCTCATCCCTACCTAGAAAGAAACAAACATAAAGATGCATTTATAAACAAAATTACTTACAAAAAGCCACAGTGGAAATACTGCCTTTTGGAAGAACAACACTCTTCTAAAAACTGAAAAACAGTGTCATGCTCAAGAGAAAGCTCAACCATTTCAACAACTCTGTGTGTGGCAGACAGTGAATCCAGGATATTAATAATAAATTTAACGGAGTCCTAAAGTAAAGGTAACCATCTTTTTCAGCATGCCAAGATGCTGATATGAGTTTAAATGTATGGAACTAAAAAGTTATGTAGGAAAATGATAACATTTTCCAGTGTTCCTTTTCCTTCAGTCAACATTTTGATTACTCACAATTTATCACTACATAACAAAGCAGGTTGTTAAGTAGATCTTATTTTAACACGAGGTTTACTTGAGAGACAGAAATGCAATGTGGAGTGACAATCCATGACAAACAAAGGTCACTCCATAGTTTCCCTGAGTGAAGAAATGGTTTTATTACAGGTAACCAAGAAAAATGGAAAATGCAGACTAAATCAAGTGGTAAATTCCATCTTAAGCTAAATACTGTGTGAGATTATTAGACAGTAAGTGCCATACAGGAAAGTTGAAAAGAAGCTTGAAAAAAGAGCACAGAGGTCATGAAACCTCTACGAGGTAAATGTGCAAGACCAACACAGTCCTTCCAGAAGATTCAGGGTTTCTCCAAAATGTCAGGTCATGGTTATTGAATGCTCACATCTCTGTCCTCTTAAGCATCTACCCTGTGGTCTTAGACTATGTGTATCCCAGGAAATTAAACAGTGACAACAAATGTTCCAGAGCTCTGGCACTTGACCTACTGTATTGCTAAATTTTTAGCACATTCCTTGGCACACTTCTGGTCCAGGCTAACTACCACTCTCCCAACCAATTCCTGGGCACAATTCAGGAATTAACCCAGGTTGGGTCCAGATGCAGCCAGCCTGTTCCGGAGGGTTCAGTAGTGCGAGCATGGCTGGATTGTGCTATTTGACCCCAGGGACAGAATGGGTGCCCTGGGACTCTTCAGTTTACAAGTAACATAGCCTTGGTGTCACACAAAATTAGCTGTGAAAATCATCCTTCCTGCGTATCATCCTCATCAAACAACAGTCTTCTCTGATCCCTCTGCTAAATGCCATTCAGCTATATCAAATTAAACCAATTGACTTTTTGTCTTCAAATCTTTTCATAGTTCTTCTCTTTCTTACCCATCAGGCCTTTTCAAGTTGTCATCCACACAACACTTTCAACTAAATTTAGCTTAATCTGCCTGTCTGTTGTCTTATCCTATTAACATCTCTTTCCTTTCTTCCTCCTTGACCCTGTAGATTGGCCAGGGAGGTTGCTAGCCCTTAAAATCCCATTTACCCTGTAAGGTCTTGTCCTGTGTCACTGACTAACAATGGCAGAGAAAACAGGATGGGTTCATCAGTGTGTATCTCATTACTTATCATTATTAAACAGATCTGCATGGGATACTCAGACATTTTTATATATGGACCCATATTGCTATCCTGTCACCTTGCCGTCCTCACACCTTCCTATGTTATGTTGAAGTAGGTCTTTGCAATTATTTTCTGTGTTTAATTGTGGAAGACCTTGACTGTTATTTGTAATCAAGATATTTGTCATAACGATACAAAGGCAATAGTGAAGTTAGGCTTGGTTCAGAGCCAAACACAGATGTAAAAAGTAAGTTGGTCTCCTAAAAATTAGATATTCTTCATCCTGCTTGAAATTGCTTGTATAACAGACAAGGGAAACCATCAGGAGTTCATGTTGCCTTACTCCAATTTACTTTTGTATATGGTCATATTTTCTGGTACCTTAATTTTTTACTTAAATCCTGTTTACCCAAGATAGTCTAAGAATACTAGAAAGCAAGATCTGCACGGAGAAATATCTTGCTTTAGATCAACTTCAGTTTGAACAGACTTCAGAAAGCTGAAGAAGGGTCTGTATGTCTGAAACTTGCCCAGTTTTTAAACAGATCTAATGAATAATATTCCACTGCTTCCAAATCTTCCCTCTCACTTAAATTCATCTCTGGATTTAGTCTGCAGCTTGTTCATTAGTCAAACAGGTGCTTCTCAATGTCACCAACATCACACACTTTTCTGATAAGGATCTCAGCAGCAATTCACTAGTGATGGGGCAAAACCTAAAATACACTGATTAATCAGCTTGGCTAATGTTACACCGGGCCTGCTGCAGATTGCTACTTACTTGACTCAGGCCAGTGTTATAAATCTCTCGCTCACATTAGACTTGCATTTTGGTAGTTTCACACTCTGCAGAAAGATTGTCTTTTTATTATCATTGGTTACTCGTGTCTTAACTTCATTAATTCAGTGGCATTCGTCCAGCAGCATAAATGGAGAGAGAATTAGACCCAATGTTTTCTAGTGAGAGAGTTTCACAATGAGATTCCTTGCATTTTAGGTCTGCTCCTATCCAAACAATATGTGATACAGGTATACAATGGCCTTTAACTTCCTGAATGCTTATGCAGTGTGTTTTTCATCAAACAGTTTGGATTAAACACATGAACTATGCTTTCTAAAAACAGATCTCCATTATACACATGAACAATACCTGAGAACCTCAGGAAATCTTTTAGGTCTCAGGTTTGTAATGGAGAAATAAACATTGTACTATGTTTCCTCTCAGATAGGGCTTTTCAATTTATTTAACTTTAATGGGTTTTAAACTTTCCAACCATGCTTCCTCTCAGGAGAGAGCACTTGGGATTCAATCTGTCTCTATTTTCTAAGTGTTTCCTTCTGAGTCCCTGTGGGTCACAGCCTCCAGCCACTTTCATCTCTAAACCAAACCTATTTTTCATGGCTTACAGTGAATGGCTTCATGGCTCTAGAACATCCTACATGTTTTAAGAATAAATATTGCAAGTCTGTCCTACATATGTTTTCCAGTGGAAAACAGATTATTACATTACAGCGTATTCTGCTTAGTAACATGCTGTGTTAGTGATTTCTCTGTAGTAAGATGACTCAACTGTTAGACCTGAAGGTGCACAATTAATTTGAAATTTAACTCATGACTAGTTGAGACACATCATCTACCTCAAGCATTGCATAATCAACCAGATGCACTTTACGAAAGGTGGTGTGTCACCCTGTCACATCATAACTCAAGACAGCCACTTTGATCCATCTATCCATGTGGGAGCTGAGATAACAATTCATGAAGCCATGTAAAGACTGAGTAGTTGACTATAGGTTTATAAGCATGCTGACAGAGAAATAAGGAATGCATATTTAAAGTGTGCTTTTACTTGATGTAAATCAATATAGGCCCACAAAGAACAAATGCAATTTTTTAATTTTTTTTTTTAATTCATTCATACAGCAGCAGAACGGCTTAACCAATTGATCTGGAGTTTTGTATCAACTAGCTAATTACAATACGATTGTCGCTAAAGGAAGTAAAACTTAGCCTTTTTTAAAATTTCTTTAGCACTTGTAGATTTATTTTGCAGCAAGTCTTACATCACCGTAAGTGTGGCAGACGGTCTGTCACTCTCAGGGACATTGCTCCTAGCAGCCCTTCTTTGTGTAAAAGCCTGCCAAAATCAGTGTAACGCTAACACCTACTCTGTCTTCAGTTACGATTTTGATACTTTTCCAACATGTTATCCAAATGCAGAAGTGTTGTGTGCTAAAGCCAGAGATGCAGGTGAACTCAAGCTTAAATGGTGACAGAAAGGGCCAAAGTTCTGATATTCACACAGTAATTTCCAAGGACTTTAAGGGCCAAAATCAACGGCGTGATCCAGCTGTTGTGCAGTGCTCTAGGAATACAAAGCAGCTGTAAGGATGACGGAGTTTTAATTAGAGCAGCGTGAAGTAGCCAGAACATACTAGTGATCTTGGCTGAAATACTGTGTGCTGGAAAGGAGTGCTTAGTATTATCATTTTGGACATCCGTCTGTATTTCTGATGGTATCATGATAAAAAGAAAAAGTTTCTGACCAGTTGCATGACATTGTTGCAGTATGCAAATACCAAAATCCCCAAACTTTGCCTGTCTGTTGTTTCACCAGGGTTCCAAAACTAATTCTGGGGACAGTGCCAGTCTAACACTGGTAACAAATGTCCTCCTGCTGTCTGCCCTGATCATGTCTCTATATCTTACAGCATTCCTGATCTGCTGAAGGGATTGTGTTCCCTGAAGAAATAGCTGGTATGATTTATAATGACTTTAGTATTTAATATTTAACTCTACTGGGTTTTTTTTTCCACCCCTTATCATATTGCATATTAAACTGGAAACCTTTCCAAACAGTCTCCAGTCAAACAAGAAGTCTTTATATGATCAGTCACCTTGATTTCGACATTTATTGGCTACTCATTTCAAGATGTGCTCACAGCATCGGTACTTGGCATGGGAACTCTTCGGCCTCTCCTCTGTTACACTCGTTTGTTAAGCTTTAAGCGCAGACGACAAATGCTATGATTATTTACTTGAGCCTGTATTGTTGTTCTGGGCATGGGTCCTTCGATTTTCACAAGTTAGCAATCCATATAAGATTTTATGAAATAACCTTTATGTTAGTTTTACTGACATCAGGAGGAAATCTGTGAGGAATTTGCTGAGTAGGATGTCAGGAGAGGACAGGCTGCATGCCGTTCCAAATCTTTCCCCAGTCGACAGCAATTTGTTCTGCCTATAGCTCTTGAAATGACAGGTTAGATTAGGCTCTGTTACTAGTGCTATCAGAATCAGATAATGCAAAAGGGTTCTTTGAATTAATATGTGAATTGGACATGCTGATTTTGGGTCTATAGTGCTTTCCCCTATAATAATAATAATAGTGATGATGATGATGATGTTATAACACACACACAAGTTGATTTACAGCCATGATATGGTTGTTGCCTTTGGCTATAAATTTGTAGTCTGGAGTTCAGTTGTAAACCTAACCAATTAAGATATCACATGGAAGTGCTGGGTTTCTGACATGC